AGCCCACTCCTGTAACCTATCCAGATCTTGCTGCAATCTTTCCCTCCCTACTAGCGTGCTCACCTCACCCCAAATTTTGGTATCATCCGCGAATTTAAACAGGTTGCTTTTCACCCCATCGTCTGAATCGCTGATGAAGAAATTGAACAGCGCAGGCCCAAGGACCGAGCTCTGGGGGACTCCGCTGCCCACTTCCCCCCAGGCTGAATATGACCTGTCCACCACCACCCTTTGAGTACAATCTGCAATCCATCTGACTGTGTAGGCATCAATGCCACAGTCGCCCTTGCCCCCGCAGTGGCAGCCACAGGCAGCCAAGGCTGGGGGCAGCTGCTCCAGACCGGGCCTGAACTTCCCCACTTACTTGCTTAGTGGGTCCCAGGCGGTCCCAGCCCACCCTGGGCCCAAGGATGCCAGGCAGCCCCTCCATGGCCCAGTGTCTCCTTCCCCTGGCACTGCCAGCCTGACTACTTGAGGCCATGGATGGGGGTGGTGGGTGGGTGTGCCCTTCCCTCCCCGCCTGCCTTCCTGCTGGATCTGCTGGGAGACCGCATCCTACCAGGACCCACACAGAGTTGCTGCGTCAGGCAACCTTGCACCCTTAGATGACATGGCTCAGACTTGGGGCAGGTTGGGACTGTCTGGGAGCTCTGTCTCAAGCTGCTTGCGGGTCCCTGTGCATCTTTGGTCTAGGCCCCCAGGGAGTGGTGGCGACGGCAGCCCTGCACCCTGTGCTCCTGCAGAGGCAGCTACTGCTGGTGGGCAGGGGTGGGATTACCACAGAGCCCCCTCCCACAGCCCCTGGCCCATGCTGTGCCACACGCCCAGCCCCAGCCCAGTGCCACTGGAGCCCAAGCTGCACCCAGTGCCACTGCCAAGCCAGGCAGAGCCACTGCTCTCTTTCCTGTGCCGCCCAGGCTCCCACTGGGACTCGGTGGCTCTGTGTGAGTCCTGGCGGGAGCCCATGTGGCACAGGGAGGAGAGCAGCAGCGGCATTAGGCATGGCTGAGGCTCTAGGTGCTGGGCTGGGGGCTGCAGTAGGTAGCTCCATGGAAATCCTGCCCTAACCCACTGACAGTGGCTGCCTTTATGGGGGCGTGGGGCTGCCATTGCCACTGCTCCCTGGGGGCCTGAACTGGGGATGTGCAGGGAACCATGGACTCAGAGGTAGGTCATGCTGGAGCTCCCAGGCAGTCCCAACCTGCCCGGAGCACAGGCTGTGGGATCCAGTGATGCCAGGCAACCCTGCTGTGGCTCAGCGTCGTCTTCCCCAAACCTCTGGCGCTGTCAGCTCAGCTGCTCGTGGCCCTGGATGGGAGCTACATGTGGATGCATCCCCCACCCTTCCTGCGGCAGCCACCCAGAACCCATGCCCTACGGCTTCTCTGCACTGCCACCGCTAGGTGGCTTGGAAGCAGTGGTGGTGGTAGTGGGGTAGGGCAGTCTGTCTGCAGTCTTTAAAACCACATGTGCAATGAATGTGTTAAAGTTAACGTGTTAATTGGTTCTTGCATTAATCACGCACGTTAATGGCAATTAATTGACAGCCCTAGTGCCATCTGTTTGAATTTTGTGTGCAGATGATCTGCAGCCATTAATTCTTTCTCCTTCCTGCAGGGAAGTTTGGTTGGTCAGTGTATCCCTGATTCTGCTTTAATGAAAATGACCTTGGATCCTTATACTGAAGAGGTTTCAAAATGTGGTGTTGCATGTCTAGCTCAACAAAGAGAGAATGTCTTCCATGGGGAGAATATCTTTCATGGGCGTGTCTCCATGAGCGGGAACTTTTGTTTCCCTGGGGACAAGTAGCATTGGCACACCTTGTGCTATTGCTACTTGTTCCTGGGGAATGCCTGCGCCACATGCTCTCTGGTTCATGGCACGTTGCCCTGGGTGGGGTAGGGGAGGCTGGGGCCAGCAACTGTGCTAGCCCCATCAGTCTTACCTGGTGTCCTGGGGGCCTCCAGGAGCTGCAGCCATAGTGCTCCTGCAGCAGGGTGCCTGGCTGGCAGCTGGAGTGTGGTTCCAGCCAGCCAGGCTCCAGTTTTGGGTGGTGTGCTGCCACCACATGAGCCACCCTGCTTTTCTTAGGTGTGGGTTTTCTGACCCTGGGATCTCCTGGGGTCAAACCCCCCTTGCACTGCAAAGGAGCAGGGTGGGAAACTCCTGCATGTGTGGCGTGTGCAGCATGTGGCACTGCAGACAGGTGTGTGGGGCTTCATACAGCACATCTGCGCTTGTCTGGATGTGCCCCATGGGTGTAGTATATGGATGCACTTAAATGAGTACGTATATCGCAAATATAGGCAGAGCCTGGAAAAAGAATAATTTTGGCTCTTGTATAGATCTGAGTTTCATCTTCTCCCACTGTGTATTTGGTTCCAGTAGATGATCCATCAGTGGATGAGGTTGATAAGCATGATGCTTTGGCACTCTCACTACCTCCAGCTGCTGAGCTCAAGGCCTCCAGCTGGGACTCTTCTGCTAAGGAAACTGAGGCTCTGGACCTGAAGAAAGTCAGTGTGTTCAAAGTAGTAACAAAGGTAGTGAAACAGGTGAGAAGTCCCTGATCAAATAACACTTAAGTGTACTGCTAAATGTTTGGAAGCTGCAAATAGCATGGATCTGACTGCTGGGAATTGTAATTAGTATACCCTTCAGTAGTATACTGTGGTTAGAGTTGCCCTCGTCAAGCCACTGCAGTTTCTTTGTTTCTCTTATTCAGCCTCTCCAAATCTGTCTTGACATGGTGGAGTCTCTAGCAGGACTGCATGTTTTTGTGAAAGATGTGTTATAACTCAAGAGGTTATGGGCTACATACAGAGGTTCCTAAGTGAGGTTATCTGCCCTCTGTCATGTAAGATTAGGCATAAATGTCCTTTTTAGCTTTATTATCAAGGGCCGTGTGTAGATGAAATGAGGCATGTGTGCACAACACTTTAAAGTGGGCTAAATGCTTTTGCACTGCTTTAATGGTGTTGGTATTTGCACACCTTGGTGGCATGTTGTGTATTAATTCCAGTTGCTGTAGGGAATTTGGTGGCATAAGCACCTTAAATGACTTGGGGTGCAGCAAACTAAAACTCCCCCCCGGGTGTGCCTGCCTGCCTGCCTGCCTGCCTGAGCTGTGTGGGGGCCTGGTGTTTCACTCCACAGCTGTGGTGCCCACCTGCAGGCGGGCCACCGCTGCTGTGGAGGGAAGCACCAGCCCCTTCCCACCCCCCCAAGCCCAGGGACTGCTCCACCTACCAGAGCGGCAGGTAAGTCAGCAGAG